GCCCTCTTCTGTGCCGCTCCCAGTGGCTGTCGGCTATCAGATTGTGCCCCCTCCCAACACTGGGTCAGGTGCTGCTCTCCTTCGTGATGGGTGGGTGGGTCACTGCCCCTCCTGATTCCGCAGTCAGATGCTGTGTTTGTGGGGGAGGTAGCGGGTGGATCGCGCCGCGCCCCCTCGTAGCACCGTGGTCAGGTGCTGTGTTCCTGCCAGGAAGGCTGGTGGGCACCTGTCCACCCCCAATGCTGGTTGCTCTGCTGCTCTGTGCAGCTGCCTGCTCCACCTCAGGTGGGCACTCCAAAGGCGGGTTTGGGGAAGACCACAGAACTGCCCTGCCACAGCTCCATTCCAAAACTCAGCTCCTTGTTTGTCTTGGTGGCATGAGTTCTCTGAGGTACCAGGGCAGAAAGATCCCATCTGCCTCAGGCTGTAAACAAGTTTCAGTCCTGCCCAGAAGGTTGCAGAGCCCCCGGGTGCGGATCCAGGTCTCAGCCTCACCCTCGCCGGGGTGCTGTGCACAGGAGGAGATGGCGGCTATGGCTGTGCCTCGCCTCTCTTCTCGCAAGAGGACTCCCCCTGCAGTCACACAGGGCTGCCTCAGTGCAGCCGTCCCCGTCCTCTATCCGGCTCTAGCGGCCTGTCCCGGCCCCACCTGCTGACTTGCATCTAGGGCTGGGTGTCGCGGGGACCCTTTGTGCCCGTTTAACTTGGTTCTGTCAGTCAAGGGGTGCTTGGGGCAGATCCGAGCCTTGGAGTCTCCCCCTCCATCCCGCTGGCATCTCTGTTGGAGACGGGGAGACCCAGCGAATGAGTGCCAGTCCTCCTTTGCCGCTCCCTGTCTGCAGGACTGGTCCCACACTGTTTTCCTTTTTCTTCTTTCTTTTTTCCTTTTCTTCTGCCAGATTCGTGGCATCGTTGTCTTTTGAAGAGGGTGATGTTCCATTGGAGTTCAGCAGGTGCTCTGGTTGGCTGGGTGGGTTTGTGGATGTGAGTTTTGATGTATTTGTGGGAGAGGTGGGCTACGAGCCTCCTTCTACTCCGCCATTTTGGCCCCTTCCGGCACTCAATAATATTTTGCTGAAGGAATCCACTAGTTGAACTGCCGTATCCAAATAAATTTACAAGATGGATTAATGCCTACTGGGTTAGCAGAACCCAGGAAGCAAGAGCTCCATACCTTTGGTACGTGACACAAATGAAGATAAAAATGACATGCCTAAAACATTTAAAATTTAATTTAAAATTATTTAAATATAGAAATTATTACCGTGATAGTTTACAATGACAAACCAAATCTAATTAGTGAACTTGGATAGAGATAATGCCTAAAGTCCTATTTTTGGATCTAGAGAAGGAAAAAAAAAAATTCCGTAACTATAGGATGGAGTTTAATTTCAACAAATGTTGAAAAAAACATGAAAGGACTAGGAATTTTAGGTGATAGCACCCTCGGTATGATCCAACCATACAGAATGGCTTCAACCTCACGCCCCTGTATGTTCTGAACTCAACACAGAAAACAAGGAGGCAATGTCAATTATTATTATCTTCAGTGTATTAATTAAATTTATTGTCAATACCATGTAAGTGATGATGACATTCTACTTTGTGTCAAAAGTACACTTAGTTAATCACACCTCTTAAACATTTAAAAGACTATTGACAAAGGAAAGGAATAGTGAAATGCTTCTGCTGAGGATGGATTGGTGAAACAGCAGTATAACCATCATGCAGGAAGAAGCTCTTAGCCCAAGCAGGGAAACGTAGGACCAATGGAGTAAGTTAGCAGGGAGCATCCTCTGGCTAAATATAAAGGAGGATTTTGTACCAATTCTAACAGTTAGATCCAAATGTGCTGCCTGGGGGAGGTAGGCAAGTGTTCATGGCATGACTGAACAGAGGATCAGAGCGATTCACGCTTTGGGTGAGGGGGTTGAACCAGATTGCCTTCAATGTCACCTCTGAATCTAAGATTATATGACACTGCATGTGTGAGAACAAGATAGCTCTCTGTACAGGCTTCTCCAACAATCTTCTTCAGGGCAGCTGAAGATAGGAGATCAAACGTTGTAAATGGTTATGCATCCCAAAAGGCGGGGCGAGGGCATATGGTAGATCAGTGCACAGCTGTTGAGCTGGAGCGCCCGTGTCCAAATCCCAGCTATGATTTAGTAACTAGTGACGTCAGGTGAGTTTCTTAACATCGCTCTCCTGTAGTTTCAATATACAAAATGGACATAATATAGTATCTACATGATGGTTTATCATGATCCCTAAATGAGATAATACACATTAAGCTTTTAGAAGGGTACCTGGTTTGTAGTGATTGTTAAGTTATTATTATTATTATTATTATTATTATTATTATTATTATTATTACAACCATGATTATACTTAAATATGCATAGAAGCCTCGTGGAGTGTTAATCATATATTTTATTTTGCATTATTTGTCTGTTGAGATATTCCTTGGGAGCAAATATCTTATGGAGAAGCATGGGTAGCTGGACCCCAGAGCTGTTTTTTGTTCTTTATAGGCTGTTGTCAGCTTAGATAAGTCAGCTGAGCTCCCTGCGTCTCCTTTTCCTAATGACTCTTTAGTTACAGGGATTCTGCAGAATTCAGTGAGGCAAGAAGTATTATTTGCCTTGTAATAAATGTCAGTTCACACTCCCCACGAAGAGATGGCATTTCACTTTTGGTCCTTATCCCAATCCGTGGACGCCTGGAGACCAGGTCATAGCAATGCAGGTTCTATATAGAGAATTAGGGCTTTGAAGGGACCAGAAACTTGCTCCCTCCAGGTCTGGCCTTTTGATTTTTTTTTTATTCCTACTTGAACTTTCTTCTAAGGAAAATGAATGTGCCAGCCTCTTACCTTCCTCACGGCAGTTTAATTAAGGTTTCATCAATGGCATCCGTAAAACTCAAGGTTTTATTTTCACTTGACTCTCTGTCTTCTTCTGTAGATCCTTTGGTGTGCTTTTCAGAGGGACTACGACAGCCTGGCGCTGTGTGCCAGTTTCCCGCTGGCTGGGGCTGGGCCCTTGGGGAAGCTACCTGAGACAAGAGCTTTTGAAGTGAGAGGAACCTTGAACTTGGTTAAGCAGCTTGGGACCCAGAGCAGGATCAAAACCAGGCTTTTGATTATGCATAGCAGCCTGACTTCCACAGCTTCCTCACGCTCAACCCTCTTCTCCCAATACTCCACAAAAGTGAACTCTGTTCTCTGAGTTTTACTTAAAACTCAGGATGTTTCATCGTTGGTTTCATCAACATCACTGTATTAGAATGTGCAGGAGACTTAAAGTGATGAGGTTTAAAAAAAATCAATTTAAGATCAAGAGTGTGGATTCTAATATTTTTTCCTTTATGCAGTTAAATTGCTGATATTACTTCTATTCAAAATATGCTACTTATTAAAAATTATGGCTTAATTTTATGTATTCTGATTGTTTGTTATGAATGATGCAAGAGGGTGTATGAAGACTTCAGTGAAACTTATTGGCACAGTATTTAATTATGACACTATTAAAAGGAACTGCTTTCTTTTGAGAATCAAGCCACCTTCCCCCAACACATGAATAGTACTCCTATGGGTGAATGCTGCTAGTGAGAAATGTATATATAATTTTGTACAAATGGATGTTTTTAGGCTCTGAAACTAAATAGCATGGAATTACCTATAACCTCTAGGCTGATAATTTACTGTGATAGTGTTTTGCTTCTCATGCTAAAAAAAATTAACATGACGAGCTGATTTTTTTTTTCTGTCAAAAATAAGTTGTTCAAGCGTAATCACTGTTTTCTTCATTTGATAGCCTGGCATTTAACTTGGTAGAACTAGTCTACAATCATGTCACAATTTTCCTCCCTTTTCAATCCACTCTTGCTTTCTGGTTACCATTCTAGCAATACAAGACCAAGTCCAGCTACAAGGCTTTCGCAGCAATCCCTACAAACACACTGCTTTTGGAACAGAAGGTCAGTGTTGTCTCAAAAGCAGAGTGAATCTGTATTCTGTCTTCTAAAAATTTCTAATGTCATTTTTTTGTTATTGTTCTGTTTCTTTAAAAAAATTTCGGTTTTCAAGTTCTGCCTTTACTAAAATAAAACGCTGCTTTTAGTCTAGGATGATGTGGTGAGAGCATCTTGGTGAACAGAACTGGAGACACTGTGGATTTTTCAGTCGAGGCTGGGGATGAGTGTAGAGTTTTCCAAGCCACTGCCAAGCAGCTCTGGGAAACTTGACCTGGATTTGGATACAGTTGTTTTCCTTTGGAATTTTAAATGGTCGTTTCAAGAACGTCCATCTCTACTCATATTGATGAACAGAGTAGAGGTAAAATGGGGTTGCACTGTGGGCAATTGGCCACTTTTAAAGTTAGGTGATGAACAGTAGCTTCCCCAGGACAGAAATATATGAGCTGAGCATCCAACGTAGCCGCTTAGATCCCTGCGTGAGCTGGACCTCTTCGTCCACGCTTGCCAGCCACGGCTCGTACCTCCGTGAGTAGGCAGGAGGGTTGAGATCCTTTCCGATGACCCAGCTGCTTTCACGTGGCTCTAGGGCATTTTTATTTGCTGTGGAGTTGTTAATTACAAAGTTACAGGATTCTGCTTCAGTAGGTAAATTAAATTAAAGTCTCTTGTTTAATCAGCACATTACAGATATGCAAATGCAGCCCCAATGGAGGGTCACATCAGAATTGAAGTGAAATCAGTTACCAAGTCTATGAAATTATACATTTCCTATGTTATTTTTATGATATTTATTTAGGCAATTTATCTTTTACTGCCTTAAGCCCCCCCTTTTTTTCTGTGCAACGATTGCAGTGATAGTGTTTCAAATAATGTCATTATTTGTCAAATGTTAATGTTTGCCCACCAGGCGGTATTTCGACCACTGGTTTATGAATCTGTATCTTTGTTATTTTAGCATGATCTGGAGAATAAAATGGTTGTATATTCTCTTGCCTAAGAAGTAGGAAATGTTAATGGAAAATGCTAAGCAGTATATAGCAGTTGGCTGTGTCTCTTGTATCATGTATCTCTGAGAACTAATTCCAAATTATCCACATGGGGTCCAGAGTCTATGCTCTATATATGTGAATGCTTTGAGCTGGGCAGGGGTGTCACTTGGCTGCAGGCAGAGCTGTAGCTTTTTCTGTAGCTTCTCTTGTGAATTTTGACCTTTTACAGCTCATTGAAAGACGAGGTGGGCTTAACCATCAATTTCAGGAGGACGCAAGGAGTGACACCTTCACCAGATGCCCCTTAACCCTACTGTCTAGAGTTACTGGGTAGAATCATAGCAGAAGTGTTCCCTCACCGCAGACCCTCTCCATTTCAGATGGACATTTCCAAAATCTGGTCACCGAAATGGGAGCAGCTCTCCCACTCAACAGCTGGGCGAAGAGAGTGGGGCTAGCGTGTCCCGGCATGCTTCCCTCAGGCTGGTCTCTCCTGACCCAGCCTGCTCTCCTATACCTGTGTCATTCCACTATTACTCACTTTCTATTTAGAAAAACAAGAGTTAATTTTTCTTGAAATGTCTTTGTAAGGGAAAGCTGGATGTCACTATTGCTTCCAGAATTGCTGCTTAAAAGCTCTCTTCTCTTCCAATTAAATGGATTTTTAGAGGTGGTAACCTATTGGTCGTTAAAATGAAGAATGATTAGCTTAATTCCCAGTTTTATCACAAACTAATTTCATAAATGTATATGCTGATATGGCTTTACATCTCACCTCGTGCAAGTTCATTTGCGAGAGGTTTTGTTTTGAATCAAACATGCTCTTTGGCAAAATGATTTTTATTTTTAGTACAACCAAATGGAAATATCATGATATCTCATTTTAAAATATCTGTATCTAGTGTGCATAATAATCTCTTGGCTAAGATAAGTTGTTTGGGGACCATCAATATTTGAATTGTTCAGATGTCATAGGATATGACAGGATGTTAGTCTTTAAAAATACCACATTTGGCGGGGGTGGGGGGGCTGGCTTTTCCATGTTATATATTCCTCAATGAGACACTTTATTTTGTAAGACTTTTTAAATAACAAAAACGATTATGTTATCATTAGATAACATGATTAGATGAGAGTTTATTTCTATTTTCAGTAATATTTCTTGAATGATACTGTGCTGTTTCTTTCATGATTATAATTTTAAAAAATAAATCTGGCAATTTAGACTGTTTAACCCATCTGTTTATACAATAGATCTCATTCTATGCCATTAAAATCAAAGGGGCTTATTTCTGAATTGAGTGGACTATTAAGGCTGTAATCATCAGAAACTCATCTATTTGTGGAAGGAGTAACATTTTGGAATATTTTAAATCACAGAAGCTTTTATGAGGTCACTCTAGTATCACACAGAACAGCACAATTAAGGGACAACTTGATGATACAGTGTCATTACAATATCCTCTTAAGGTCTCTGCCATGGGACGCCTTGAAAATAGAACTAACATATTTAATTCGAGTCTTAACGATAGTTCAGCAAATAATTCTCTCCCCAAGCCAGATTTTTTTCTACTGCATTCTAGTTGATAGCATTTAGTATAATTAATGAGTATAAAGCTACTTTTAAAGGCAAAATTTTCTCCAAATTGAAATACAGTCATCCTTTCCAATCAGACATTAAGCTCTCATTGAATCCCTGCATTGGTTTCAGCTTTAATCACCCCTCGATGAAGCCCATAATTTTCAAGGGAGTACATTTTGTTGGCAGAGGACATGAGGTTTCTGGTACTTTTGTAATTTATTGTCTGCATCAAAACTTAAATGTATAGCTTATTCCATTTTCTATCATTTTCCCCCCTGTGAACATTCAGGAAGGAAGCATTTTTAGCTGAAGTCTTAAGTAAGGCTTTACAGGAAAAGATGAATGTCAGGCATCATATTTTAATGTGTTGGCATCCAGGTCCTTAACCTAATCTCCTGCCAATAGTCATCCTCTCCAAGATTGAGATGAGGATGTAGTACAAGTGATTATAAAGCAGGAACAAAATAATCAAATCAACTTACATTTGTGAGTGTCCATGGATCTTATTACAGTATGCCCAGCAATATATTAGGTCATTTTGATATGGGCATTATTCTTTGGTCATGAGGTGTGTCCTTTTTGGAGAACGCTAAAGTAAAGGTCTCTCTCTCTCATTGACTAATTCTTCTTCTTATCATCTGGGTCTGATAGCAATAGGTAGAAAGTTAAAATTAAATAGAAGTACACATATTCATGTTCTAAATAAATGGATGATTATTTTTAGTGTGCAGTTGTATTAAAGCAAGGACAGATGAAGGAATATTTCCATGAGATCAGATAATATGGCTTTCTATTGTCTCTCAATAATATTTTTCAATGAAAGAATATACTTTTTCCCTTGAATATATTTAAGTTATCTGTTCCCTTCCTGACAAGGATTTCTCAGGATAAATTCAAAGCTATGGTAGGCACTGCTTTCCAACAAATGACATTGCTATGCATTTAATTCATAAGCTATGAGCATTTGAAAGAATTCTGGAGTAGCTCAGGTTTGTTAATAGCACATATAAGTTGCAGGATTAATTATTTAAATGAAAGTTATAGAATAAAAGTTATTTTATTTTCTCCTGTTTGATGGCAGGTAAAGAACAGCCCTTTTGAAGACAATTGTAAAAACTGTGCTATAAAAACAGGTAATGATTTGAGATATCTTGTCAATCGTCAAGTCAATTTATTCTAAGTTGCCAATTTCAGTTCTTTAAAACATCAGTTGGGAAACTCCAGTCTGATTAAACACATGTCTTTGGATGAGAAGATTTTAAAATCTCTGCAGGTCTCCAAAATTTAACAAAATCTGGTTACTAACTTAGCATATGGTCTAGACTAAAGAGACGCCTCTTAATTTAGGTTAGTTCAAGAAGTGAGTGTGTTTCCAATTTCTTTAGCAATGGAGAAATGCCCAGGACCCAAATCTATACTAATTGGCTCTCCCTGGGTAATTGTATACCATGCAAATGTTTCTTTTAGAGCACTCACTAAACCATGTTTAATTATATGTATTGATTGGTTTTTTCCTACTAAAACTATATCCCACTACTAAAATATAGTAGTTTTTGTTATGTAGCCCTTGAATGAATCAATTTAGATTGCACCTGAATAGGTCTCTAAAATTTCCATCTTTGTTCTACAGGATTTCAAGGCAAATTTTGGCTCACAGAATTATAAAAATAAAGGGGTCTAGTGTATGACAATTGGGATGATGATAATTAAAAGTTTTTGGAGGTAGAATAAGCTTCAGCAATTCTCATTCCATGGAAAAGACATAGAGGACCTTCTGCTACAAGGAATGTCAGCTGGTTTTAGACTTGGCACCCATTAGCGATGAGAGAATACAGTCACACCGGCTGCCATTTTGAGAAGTCTAGTGTTCTAGTGTATCATACACTGAGCTAAATGCTTTCCTATCCAAACTCTGTGAGGATTTTGATGCTCCAAGATGTCAACTGAATCTCCCAAAGCAGCAGGGCTAGTAAGATGATGAATTGGACCTCAAAGTGGATCTGATTATCCTCTGACTTTTCCCTGCCCACCGCGCAACTGTGACATCAACCAGCTAAAGTGAAGTAATGAGCAAGAGTTGATGGTTTTGGATGTTTTGGGATAATTTTTTTATCACTTGCTAAAATATATTTAAATCTTCATTAAATTGGGGCAACAAATGTGTTTTTTTTAATTTCTATTTTTTTAATGAGGAACAATGAAAGAAAACTGGAAATGACTTAGTTCTGATAAGACTTGAATGAGCAGAGGATGACAAACCAGCCCAGTTCTTTGAGTTACTGAAGAGATGAGGTGAATTACAGGGCAGACGTGCCGGCTGAAAATAAGGAACACCCTTCTGATGCCCTTGATTAAATGAAGGAAGAGCAGGGGGGCTCTTGTCACTGAAGCTTGAGTTTGAAACTGGCTCTAATGGTTTGCAAAAACTTCTTTCCTTCTGTGTGGGAGAGACAGACATTTAACCCTCCAACAATTTTGGGATTGAAAACACCAAGTAAATTTCCCTCCATTCTTGAATTTTTTTAGCCAACCATGTGAAAATAATCTAGTGATAAATACTTCTAGATCTTTACAGAAGCTGTACTTTTGTGTATCTGGAGGCCCCTTTGGCTTCCAGTGCACATCCCCCTCCTTTTCTTCTGATCTGAATGCTATTCAGCCCCAAATCTCCAACTAGATAATCGAGCTGAGGTTGATTTGCTGAGAATATCTCTGATCCTACCAATGGTTTTGTGTTAACGACTGAAAGTCAAGCAAAGTCTTTGTTGTCCTCTGAGGATTTAGTCTCCCAAATAGCTGATCAGGTTAACAAAATGTAGCAGCATTTAGGTTTAGCATGGTTTATTTTTGGAGAATTTGATCATTACTAAAATACAGTAACTTGCCCATGAAATTTTTGAAACCCAATCCAGTTAGGCATCACCAAAAGCTTACAAACCCTCTGAGAGTCTTCTTCCTTTGGAAGCAGTTTACTTTCTAACTCTATTTAGAGTGCAACTAATTCATCTTATCTTCAGATTCTCAGAGCTTAATCTTATTTCCAAAGAGAGCAGGTTAGACTGACTCAGTATGTCTGACTTTAAAAGTGTTTGTGGCTCTATCAGAATTGCTCCTTTTGGATGGAGAACAGATATTACAGCATGCTGGCATATATTCTCATAAAGACTTTGATTAACAATGCTTGCTCTTTGTCCTTGGCTCTTAATCATAATGGCATGCCAAGCTCAGAAACCATTTTCTTCTAGAAGTCAGATTTCTATGTCTCTTTTCAAAAACTGTGCCCCAAAGTTGGTTGTGCTAAGCAAAACATAACCACTTTTAATGAGAATATTTCTAACTTACATTAGTAAAGAATCTTTAAAATATGATTCAAAGCCTGTCCCATATATGCCTCACGTGGCTGTCATCTCATTTGGTAGGAAATATATATTTTTAATAAAAATCTTTTATTGGAAAATATTCTGAGAGAACGTCACTCAATATGAATAAATCTAAAGAAACATCACTACAGTCCTGCTAGCTATGTTGTCAAAAGGCAATCTTGTTAATGGACAATTAATGTATTTTTAAAAATACAATCTTGTACCACAGAGGAAAAGAACCCTACTTTTTTATGGCCGCTAGAAGGAATGGATCAAGATGATATATTTGACAGAGAACTCCTTGTCAATGAAAAAAAAATCAGTTCTAGTAAATTTCAAGGCTATTTAAACTCAAAAGAATCCCCCTTCCAAATTTTAATGCAGTTTGAGCATTGTCTCCATTTCAAAGATTGAGCATTATTGACATTTTCAGCATTACCAGTCATCTTCCTTCATTTTCCAAGGATTCTGAATATATAGCTTTTTAAAATTCTTTGAGTAAATTTCAGGATTTGAAATAGCATAAGAAAAGTTGTGTTTGCCTGCAATAAGTTCCCATGGGGAAAGCAGCACCATAATCCTATTTGATTTTGGCTGAAAAAAAAAATTTGCTCATTATATTAACACTGATCACATGCTCAGATCTCTAATGGTGAAAACTTTAATTGAAATATGGGAAAAGAAATAATTTGTTATTTAAAATATTCAGAGTTTAAACTACTTCTCTAGAGCATTTTACCAAGGCATATTAAAATCATATTATTTCTATGGTTCATTTATTCATTTAAATCTATTTATCGTTAGTTTGCACTTTCAATTCATCCTAATGATCTTTCCTGAGCACATATCATGTGCTCTATCCTGGGACTACAAAGATAAATACCATATTTTCCTGATCATAATAGAATAAGTGGTCCAATAAGGTAGAGATATGGTTGAAGAGGAATTATGATAAAATGTGCTCTTCACAAACTAGGAAAAGAAGTGTTTTCTCTTTTTTTTCACACAAAGGTATTTACCCAAGCTTCTGTCCAACATCATATTCCTTTTACTAACAGTTATAAAAGAAAGATATTTGCTCTTCTATTTAACCTTTTACTGATGGCTTTAGGCAATAAAAGAAGAAAGGAGAAACAACAACCAAGAAGCAACAGAGAAAAGAAGAAATGAAATTGCACTTAGTATAAAATTTCCTGCATAGAAAATCCAAGAGAATCTATGAGATCACTAAAGTAAATCAGACAGTTTACCAAGTTCACTGGATAAAGGGAATGATTGAGATATAGCATCAATAAACAGAGGATGATTGTTTTTTTTAAAAAAGGACAGTGTATACTTGTAATCCCCTAAGTAAGATAACTGAGAATAATGAAATCAAAACAAGCAGATACATGGATGAGAATTGTGAATAGTTAGCAAGCATAGGAGGGATGCCCAACCTCAAAAATGATCGTGGAAATGTGACCTAGAGCCAACATATATTTCATGTACATCAGGATGCTAACATTTTTTTTTAGTCTGAAAACAGGAACTCTCATTCCTTGCTACTTTATGTGTAAAATTGTACAGTTTTAAATAGCAATTTGAATATGTCTGATGAACTTGGCTTTTATTACACTATCATTGCAGCTACTTTAGTCTTAAAACCACAAATATGTGTGTAAAGGAATCTGTGCATGAATGATAGTTGTTGCAGTTTGTAACAGTGAAAACTGGGGTGACCCTAAATATGCAACTCATTTTGCTGTGGAATATCCAGGCTTTGGAATCGTATGTGGGGTTGAAATGACCGAAAAACGGATAAATACATAAAATAAAAGGGTGGGAGGGAACTTTTGGAGGTGACAGATAGGTTCATGGCATAGATTGTGAGGATGTTTTCACACATAGATACCTATTTGCAAACTCATTGGTTGTATGTTAAATATGTACGGATTTTTGTATGTCAATCATACCTCAATAAAACTTAAAAAAAAAAACAACAAAGAACAGAAAAAGCAAGTTCCAGGAGCATGCGGTATACTTACATGAAATTAGGAGAACTGCACAGAACAACCTTTTATGTTATTCAGTGATGTACGCGTACATTAATAGGAAGAAAAATGAAGGACATACACTTGATAAGCAAAATGGAGGAAAACGAGGAGGGAGGAGAAACAAGAGGTGGAGGAATGGCCACTGGCTTCTGTTGTTTTGCAATATTTTACTTTGTAATCTCCATGGGACTATACAGTGAACAAGAGTTTTATCTCATCTCTTTACATGTGTCTGAAATACATCACAATAAATAAAAAGTGTGTCCCATTTTGCAAAGTTAAGTGTCCTTTGAGGCCAAGCCTGATGAATAAGGTAGCTAAGACTTTTTGAATAGAAATGATGAACAATGAGGCAAGATTTCCTTCTTGTGTGTGTTGTGTTTCTTGTAAACTGGCCCTGAAGCATTTCTCTCAATAGATTTGTGTTCTTTTGAGAAATGACTACATCACTGTTTTTTCTCTGTGTAGCTTCCCAAGGTGACTTCTTTGAGGGGACAAGGCTCATTTGGAGGCATACGGTGTCCAAGTTCTAGTTTCTGTGCTTAGAAGCTCAGCCTCTTTTATTCCAGCACCTGATAATTGGAGATACTCATCCCATAGGAGAAACTAGACAATTGTGGGAAATGCCTCTGTATCAGAGAATAGCTTATCAGATGATCCAGAGATTTTTTTCTTCTCGGAAATACTGAGCTATATCGAGCTACCCGTACTGAGCTATAGTTGGGATTCAGACTTTTCTACTATGTTTGTATTTCCCTGAAAGCCTCACATGAGAACTATTTCATTTGTCATCACTAGGCACTAGATGAACCGGCCAAGACTGAGAGCATCCCCAGGGACCGCACATTAGACCCACCACTGGAGGTAACGGCTTCAGACCACCCCTGCTTTTGAAATGCAATCCCCAAAACTCTTGCTAACCCACTACCTGGTTTCAATTCTTCCAGTTGTGTTCCCCTGCACAGCTCAGGCAGCAAACTGAAGAGCTCTGTGCTACCATTGATAAGGTCTTACAGGATTCCTTGTCTATGGTAATGCCTTAGACTAGAACGTGCTATCAAACCTTTGCTTCGCTTCTCTTCATTTGCCTCTGCTTGACTAGGATGGATGCATCACAGCTTGTCCTTTTTTTGTTTTGTTTTTCCCCCCTAGCATTCTTCTGATTCGCCTTCAAGTTCCCTACAGACATGGTTGGGTTCTGACACAATCAAAGTATGTATCTATTTAATATAATTTACTGAACCATAAGAGTTACTAAGTCAGTGTGTTTTAAACTTCAGGTCAAGGCTCAGTAGCGATTTGGGATGTTAGTGGACAGCAACCAACATTTTTGTTTTGTGTTTTTTGTTTGTTTGTTTGTTGTTAGCAAACAGCATTTTAGAAATATAATGTAAGATATGTAAGAATGTAAAATATCAGACTCTATTCTTCCAAGTGTTGAGGAGGTATTACTGACGTTTATTTCGGCTTCTTTCTATGTACACGTATAGTTATGCGTGTATGGGTTGCAGTAAAATCTATTTCTAACTATGGGTCAAGTTCAAAATAGAAAGTCAAAGTGTTGGACTGTGTTGTTCCATGTTGGCATTTAACATGTGGGACCGTATGGAGAACTTGTGACTTAGTTTCATCTCAAGCCATAGCTTCAGTCCTTATGTAATTCACAGCCCTTAAAATTGTAGAAGAGGCAAAATGGAGTTACAGTCTAAGAGCTTTCACACAGGTATTATTTCTGGAATTCTTTTTCTTTTGGTTGACTGGATCAATTTCATTGTTCTTTGACTCAGAGAGACAGAATCCTGGGTACTTTTGATTGTTAGAGGACGGCTAAAGCATTCACTGTCAGATTGCATATTTACATAAGTCCTTCTTGTAATGTAGCCATCTTCGTTTGTTGAGATAAAATATTACGTCTCCAGATTATTTTTCGAATGCTTAGTACAGATCTGCTTATCCAAATTGCAAAATGATGGTGCTTTTTCCTTAATGGCTAATTGTTCATTTTTTTCTGTCAGTCTTATTTTCTCTCTTGGAATTAGTATCAATACTTTTTGAACAAAGTTGGACATTGTATGTATAAAGTAGATCTTAAATGTACAGAATTGTCTGTAACTAAAAGAGTACTCCTATTTTCAATTGGACCGTTATAGACAAATATCCTCTAATAATGTAGAAATCAGGTGATCCATCACTGTCAATATTAAGAATTATATTTTAGTAGAGAGGACCTGCAAATAGATAATTATAATTTCTATGTTTGTAATCTATTTTGTTGTGTATTCTTCAAGTCTTTTAATCTGAAAATAGAAAACTTTGATTTGCCAGAGCTGCTATATAAATTTTAAATATATACTGTTCTCATTTCATTTGTTGAACATATAAAAATACCCCATATTACATTAAATATAATAGGAATAGGACTTAAGAAGTAATGTGTGAATAATAATCTGTACTATTGATTTATTTAATATATATGTAATGCTTATAGTGTCAAAATACATTATTCTAGGCCATTCAATTTAAAGTAGTTATTTCATTTAACAAATATGTATCAGATGCTTACAGTGGAGATGACAGTGAGCAAGGTGGGGTAAACTGAGGGGCAGACTTGGATGTAGCGATGGGAAAGGAGGATTCAGTCTAAGACCAGTATGGAAAGACACCAGCCATGGAAAGATCAGAGAGAAGAGCTTTCAGGCAGAGGAGTAAGCATGTGCAGATCTCCTGGCAGGTAGAAGCTTAGTATGTATGCAGAAGACCAGTGTGGGTGCAGTAGAGCGAGCCCAGGTGAACAGTGTAACACGAGGTGAGAAGGTGGGCTGGGGACAGTGACGATACTTACATGCCATGGCATGCAAGTTCGGATTCCATGGAAAATGGGAAGATATAAAAATATGGGGGGAATACTATGAAACCATTGAAAGAGATCCTGATGGCTGCTGTGAGGAAGCTACTGAGGTCAGAGGAGCAATGACGGTGGCCTGGAAGGGGTGGGTTCAGAGGAGCCGCAGAGAAGCCCGCCCTGGGTGTGATGGGCGCTGCAGGCTAGCTTGGGTCCGGGTGTGCTGGGGAAGGAGAGCAGAATCATGGAGGGGCTCCCGGTCCTTGCCTCCAGTGCAGACAGACATGAAGGAGGCGCAGTGTGGTAGCGGGAAGAGGGGTGTGTTTGCTTTGGATGAGTTCCAGGTGTGTGTTAAGGTGACCTTAACCCTGTGTGTCTGGAGCTAGCAGGAGGGATCGGGGGTGACTGGAACATCGATGTTGTGAGCGCCCTGTACAGAGCTCCCAGAAATAAAACATTGCAGGTCCGAAAAAGGAGCATGAAAAGTCCATGGCAATAAGGGCAAAGTCAGAGCGGGGCACACCCAGCATACAGCGTTTAGGGGAATATGGTTGTGGCGACTGCTGCCGACAAACAAAACAAATAAGGCTACAGAGTGTTTATTAGATCTGACTTGTGCATTTTGAAACTGTATTGCTATTGCTTATGTGTTGATGTTCATTCTTGTCTTTTTGATTTTTATAGCCTTTACTAGCATTTGTAGTCCTTTTGAACCAAAAGTTGTTTTTTTTTAAAGTCTAGTATGAAAATAGTGACCTTATATAGGTAATATAAATGTAATTTTTATTCATGTTTTCCTAGATAGAACTTTTATTACTTTTTCTATTACTTTTAAAAATTATTTTCTATCACTTAAAAATCCTTTTTACATTCTTATCTTATTTTCTTCAAGACAACATATTTTTGGATATCACTTTTTTTTTTGTTTTAGGGGGAGGTAATTATGTTTATTTATTTTCATTAGTGGGGATACTAGGGATTGACCCCAGGACCTCATGCATGCTAAGCACATGCTCTATCACTGAGCTACCCCCCGCACCCCACCAGGTATCATTTTTATACTTAATCTGGAATTCTGTTTATCTGGGACCTTAAGCCATTCACAATAATTTTGATTCTTATATCAGGACTAATTTCTGCTATCTTATTTTATATTTTCCATTTAATTTTTTTTCCTTTTGGCTTTCCTACTTTCCTTTGGATATTTTGACATTTACTGGTTTGGAAATTTTAAAAATTTAGAAAATTTTACTTTGCATCTTTGTGACTTTTCCTAGCTACACATAAATTATTAAAGAAAATAATTATGCTTATTTTTCTATCATTTTTAAAGTTTACAAATCTCTTTTTCCAAAGTTAAGTATCATAGGACTTTTCACTTTCCATTTGTTTTTAATAAAGTTATATGTAAAATATTGGCTATATTCCCCGGATTGTGCAATACATCCTTGAGCCTGTCTTACACCCAGTAGTTTGTACCTCCCACTCCCCCACCCCTGCATTGCACCTTCTCCCCTCTCCCCACTGGTAACCACTAGCTTGTTCTGTATACCTGTGAGTTGGCTTATTTTTTCTTATATTTAGTATTTCTTATATTTGTTGTATTTTTTTAGATTCCACATATAATTGACATCATACAGTAATTCTGTCTGACTTACTTCACTTAGCATAATGCCCTCCAAGTCCATCCATGTTGCTGCAAATGGCAAAATTTTGTTCTTTTTAACAGCTCTTTTTTTCGGATGTATACTCAGGAGTGGAATTGCTGGGTCATGTGGTAGTTCTGTTTTTAATTTTTTGATAAACCTCCATACTGTTTTCCATAGTGACCGCGCCAATTTACATTTCTCCACATCCTTGCCAACATTTGTTATTTGTGGGTTTTTTTTTTTTTTTTTTGATGATAGCCATTCTGACAGGCGTGAGGTGATATTTCAATGTGGTTTCGATTTGCATTTCTCTTGATAATTAATGATGTTGAGCATCTTTTCATGTCTCTATTGGCCATCTGCATTTCCCCTATAGGAAAATGTCTATTCAGTTCTTCTGCCCATTTTAAAATCAGATTATGTTTTTGATGTTGAATTGTATGAACTATTTACATATGTTGGATATTAATCCTGATGGTATCTTCTCATAGGAAATTCAGAATTCATTGTGAGTAAATATGTAAATAATTACTAACAGAGATACTAAGAACATTTGTAAATGAGACTTTATGTGGCACATGCTTTCATTTATCTTGGCTAAATACCCAGGAGTGGAATGGCTGACCCAGTTTTTTACACTATTTACATTTTTCAGATGCCTTATTATTTTTTCATGAGATCCACTATGTGTTACCTGCCACCTCCCCCCACCCTCACTCTGATGACACTGTCCCACACCTTTGCCTCCCTGTACCTCTGTGTATGGCACTCCACACCCCTCTTTTCCAATAGCTGTCTCATTGCCATCACTGAGGAATGAATCAGGAGAGGGACTCATCAGAAACTGACCAGTTGTCCAAACCTATAATTAACTATTCTCTTCTCCCCAGCCAATCTGAAGGGCCACCTCTGTATCATCTGCATAGATTCTTCTTTGCACCATCCTTACGTTATCTGTTTGCTCTTTATCTGTGGCTTTGAAAAGTACCGTGAGATGAGAAGGCGGAGGCAGAGTATGTAAAACAAAGAAACAAACAAAAACAGCTACTTTGAAATGTTGGGCTCTGAAAGGAAGAAGGAAGTTGGGCCAGTAGTTGGGTCAAGGGAGAATTTTTTTGGTCTGCTTTTTAAAGCTGAAAATACCAAGGACAAGTTGGTGTGCTAGTGGGGCTGAGTCAGTAGAGAGCCCTCTCCATTACTAGAAGGTCAGTCCTGATCTGAGCTGACGTATTAACCAAACGGATGACAGTTGATCACGCCCTCCTCTTTGTAAACATTCCTCTGGTTTCTTCCAGGACACCAGGCTCTCTCAGGTTTTCTCCTACTTCACTTGCCATTATTATTTTTCAGTCTCCTTTGCAGGTTTATCCTCTTTCCCCCAAACGATTAATGTGGGAGTGCTCTAGGGCTCAGTCCCCGGACCCCTCATTCCTCTCCATATTCATTCCCTTGGTATTCTCGCCAAGTGACATATTTTGAAAACCAGGTATATACTGACAGCTCTGTGATTCTCTAGTCCAGAACTCTCTCCCAGGCTCCACTCTCCCAATTTCAATTTCTACTAAATACATTAAAAATGAAACCTAGATTTCTTCCCATGAAAACTATTCCATACCCCGCCTTCTCATCTCCCTTGACAAGAATTGCAGTCTTTCATTTGCTCACGTCCAGGAACTTGGGTGTCCTGTTGTATTCCTCTCTTTTTCTCGTGTTTCTCTTCTTGTTGCTGTAGATCCTAATATTTGTAGACACTGATTATTTCATTCCTTCTGTACATCTGAGCCACCATCGTGCTTCTCTGGATCGTACAGTGGCCATGTCACTACACCTTTGCGTCACGATGATCCATTCTGAACACAGCAAGCAGAGAGATCCTTTTAAAGTGTAAGCATACACATTACACCAGAACATAAGCCAGAGTCCTTACGAGCTCCTGGAAGGGCCTCCAGGATCCGGCCTCCCGACACTTCCATGGGCTGCTCCCCGTCTCCCCTCTTCTCTTCCCCCTCCATCCCCGCTCACCTCTCTGCTGTGCCTTGATCAACGCCTGTCCTGCATGCTCCTGCCATGGCACGTTTAGATCTTTTTCAACTCAGTTATATTACTTCCTATAGTTTCTAGTTTCCTGTAAAAACGTGCAAGTTTAACTTCTATCTCAAAACACATGGTTAAGTGTGGTTGTTTTTCAGTCAGGCTCTAAGAAAACAAATTTCTCTATGGTTTCTTTTTTCAGTTATTCATTATTTTTGCTCATTCTCCCTCACATTGTCTTACCTCTTTGTGTATCTGAATCTGTGTGTTGGGTCTTCTACTTGCAAACCTCATTTATAGAAATTATTTGAGGCCTCAGAGGATTTGATCTTCCTCTGGATTCTTTGCTTCTGTCACATACCAGGAGAACTAGCAAAGAAAGATGACTTCATTTAATTTAAGGTCTGGAGATTTTTTTTTTTAAACGATCATTTTCAATGATTTTAGGCCAGGCTAAAGACCATGCGAGGTCCTGTAGATCAGTCTTCCTTCTGGGGCTCAGTCTATTCTTGGCAGATCCTGGGCTCTGACTTTTATCTCCCTACATCTCTGAGACTGTCAGAAGTTTGAATCAGCTTCTTAAGTAATTCATCATTAATTGCAAACATCCCTAGGTCAAAAGCACATCTCCAATGCTTGACTCCTTTCTTTGGATTTTTTATCTTCTCTTGATCTTGCCCCCAAATTCTTCACTCTCCAATTAGCTCATCAGAGTTTTCAGTGAAATAGTATCTCCACAGTGTTTTCAATAGTTTGAGGAACTTTTCAGTTGTCTGTTAACGGAAGGACTGCATTGAGTTCTCGAGCTGTCATTCTCAGAGGTGGACGTCTAGTGTAAGAACCTGGCCTTGTTGCATCCTGTTGGAATGGTCTTCACCCAGATATCTGCACAGCCATCTCCCTCACTTCCTCCATATCTTTGCTCAAATGTCACCTGCTACAAATTGACCATCCTATTTGGTCAATTTAGGATCGTGACCTCCTGAACATCTGGGTGATCCAAAAAATAGGATGTTTAACAGAAGCAAAGAAGATTTCCTCTGGAAGCCCATACTACCTGAGGCTTCAAATGATTTCCACTCTTCTTTTTCAGGGCATTATTACCTTCTAACATCTGATGTAATTTACTTGCTATTTTATTGTTTATTTTCTTTCCTACTGGAATGTAAGTTCCCCAAGGGCAGGGCATCTCTGTTTCTTTTATTCACTATTTAAGTCTGAAGAACAGTTCCCGGGACACAGTAGATACACAACAAGTATTTGTTGAATAGATGAATGAACCAAATAGCCATCTTGTCTCAGAAAGTGGGAGAGTGGGCCCCCAAGAGAAAGCCTGGGGCGCTATTAGTGTTAAATACCCATCTGCAATTGGCAATTGTTAATTTACAATGAAATCAGTTAGCTTGGTTGAAAGAGTTCCCCCAGCTATGTTCTATATCTCAAGTACCTACTTAAAGGAAACAGATGATACAGTCCATCCAGGCTTTTGTTGTTATTGCTGTTGTTAGTTTTTGTGAGTTTGTCACAAGGAGAGAAGGAAGCAAGACAAATTAAGATGTTAAAATGGCTGAGGATCGGAAATATATGTAAGCAAGGAGGCAACAGAGCCAGAATGGCTGGGAGGCCTCATTGCTTTCGAAGTCTCCATGAATGAGGCTGAAGAAATGTTGGGATGTTTGAGAAACGAAGACAGTAGAGAGGAGGTGGAGTTCTGACAGGAGGACGTTAGAAATGAAATGAAATTTCAGAGGTTTTCCATTTTATTGGTGAAGGCAACATCCAGGAATGGTCCAGTGGATAACTGAAATAGAGCAGACGGGAGCATCTTTGGAGTTGAGAAGCTCAAAGAGTTGAGAGGGTAGAGACTTCTGCATGAAATTTCGAACCAGCCAAAAATTACAGAGGGAACCATTATGATCCACGAGTGAACATTATCAACAAAGAAGATAAAATTCACTAGAAAGCTGATACGTAACAGCTAAGAAAAGAATAATAAAGTGACAGTGTTTAATGAAAAATTTTCAAAGGAACAGGGGGTTTTGTCTAGAAAAGAGGGAATAATAGAAAGTCTTAATGGGAAAGAAAAGGTCAACCGTTAATCCCAGAAGCTGAATCTTTTAGTATTTTCTTGGTTGCTTCAGTAGCATAATTGTTTTTATTTTCATACAGATGCCTACAACTCTTCCAAGAGCAGCTGGTCGAGAAACCAAATATGTAAGTTCCTTCACAATTATCCATACTGCTTTTTCAGTGGGAGTGTGTGTGTGTGTTTTGGTGGCAACTCAATTATACAGTCATTGAAGTTGAATTAGTTGCATTTTTCGTAAATGGAAAGGGTAGGATGGTATGATTGGAAAATCAGGTTATGTTAGTTAAGTTTATTGAATAAATTCTTCTTCTTCTTGAGGGAGGTCTCCTTTAATTAGTTTGACTAAATAAAACAGAACTCCAGCATCCCGCTTCCTGTCTTTCTAATTGTCAAGGCTTAGATGACAGTTTCATGTTTGTGGTGGTTTATTGTGCTTATTAAGAAAGAGTCACCTCATACACTTGAAATGTTACGATTGGCCCATTTCCAAGAAGATTGCCAATTTAGTTGATTTTGACTGGTTTGTTGCTTTCTTGCATTTAAATTGTATCAAATAAAGCAATTTCCACCTACAAGCAAAAATGTATTAATAATGGGAGACTCACACACTTGATTCCATTAATTATGGGGAGCTATCTCCGAATATTCTAGACCCCACCCCTTTCCTACTCATTATTCACCAATAATCCATCATGCGGCCAACTTCTGCTTCCCACCAAACATATTCTGGTATAAACAAGATTGTCTCCTAAGCAAGTATTTAGTTTTTAGTTTAAAACAAAGCAATAAACTCTTCTTTTCAGCTTATACTTTACATGTTCTATTATGTAGTCTTCATCCTCATCCTCCAAAATAAATCAGTAAATATATATCTTGTGACATATCTTCTGTGAAATTTAAACATTTCTGCCTTCCTGTGAACCTCCCTAAGGCAAATAATAAATTGGGTGCAATTACTGAACTTCCATCACGTTTGGGAAATGATGTTCAGAGGGTATGGAAGGGAGCACTGCTTAGAACATTTTCTAGACGCTTTCGCTGGTATTTGCTGTTATTCTCAGAAATCATTTGGAGCAATACTTAAAAGTGTGGAGGCATTTGGTAGGCTGCACCCAAATTTTAATCACAGTCTTGCTGCTTGCTAACAGATCCCGGAAAATCACTTAACCTCTCTGTGTCCTAGTTTTTTTCATCTCAGAAAACTGGGAAACTAATATTTGGTCGATGTAAGATTTATCGTGGCTGATGTATGAAAAGCCCTGAGTGCAGTCCTGACACACAGAAATGACTCAGGGAATAATGGTTCTCCTCTTTTTTCTTCTTTTATTTTTCCCTTCATCCAAGTCTCCCCCCTTTACTCCTCCTCCTTGTCTCGGGTAGACTAGAAGTGCCATGATTTAGCTGAATTCCTTGAGTCTTCAGTTGGGTACAAGGAAAGAAAGTCCCTAAAGATGTTTCTCTGCTTTTGGTGACTAAGACCTTTTATGAAAACCAGACACCAGAAAAATTAGCTAGAATATTTTGTTCTCTCACCTTCCTTTCTCATCTACTCCTACTTTGCACGCAAGTGCCTCTGATTTAGATTCATTTACAGTAAAGACACAGAGAGCTGGTACCTTCTCCCTCTCCTCCTGGGGGTGGTGAATTTGTTAGCAATTGAAATACGTCTGGAGGGGGCTAGGCTGCTTCAGTCTCCAAAGGGAGAGGTTATTTCAAGTTATTCTTCTGTCAGTTACCAGACTTAATTGGGCTTAATATTTGCCCCAAACTTGGTGAGAGCATTGAGTCTTTCAAAGTTAACACTGAATCATCACATAAGTTTAATACGGACTAGAACAAATATAAACTGATTCAGATAAGATTCAAATTTGGTTTCTTTTTAAAAAAATTTTTGTAAGTTGATTTTAAATGGAGGTACTGGGGATTGAACCCGGGTCCTCATGCATGTTAGGCATGCATTCTGCCACTGAGCTATACCCTCCCCACCAAATTTGGCTTCTTGAGTGAGAAGCTTTGTGGTTTACTTTCTCTTACCTCATGACATTTGAATGGCTCTTTGTGACACTCCAAATGTGTCCACATCTTGGGGAAGACTATAAGGGGTAATTTATGGTGAAATGTGAAAACTTTGGAGTCATCATTGGGAAGTCACATGTGTAAATATTTGACTGCAGTTATGACATTTACTAAGTGATATCTGACACATTTCTTTTGAGGAGAAAAAAACGAAATTTTGGAACAGAAGTCTACCTTAGCTATAAGCCTTGATCTCATGTGAAAAATCTATCTTAAATACAACATGTTTTGATTTTTTTTTTTTAAAAAAAGAATGGCTCTGTCATATTTTCTTTTAGAGATTCTAATATTTGTTTGGGCCAAGCTACAAGATGCCTCACATTAAGTGCGACTTGAAAAGCTTTCACTTAAGTAATGAATTCATCTCTTGCTACCGTTTTCTCCCTTCCTCTCCCATGGAAACCAAAAAGCAAAGCAAAGCTGAGAACCTACAGACTTTCACATTTCAGTATTCCACCGTCTCTCTTCGAGACTTTGAAGAAAAGAGGCGTTTTCCCAACATACACCTGCTGGGACTCCGCCTGTCATTGACTTTGTAGAGATTCTTAGGTTAGATTCAAAAGCTGGGATCACGCAGTTTACTGACTTCCACACCACAGGGGATAAAAGGAAGACTTACACTGGAGCCGAGTTACACTCGAGGACAGCCTTAACGGATTGATACAGTCCACTCAAAATCCCGATTTCTGGGGACTTTTTAAAAGTACAGTGTATAGTCTATGAATTGTGACTAGCAGAGACTGTAGTTGGTACTTCTAGCTCTCTTATTCAATTTTCCACTTTCTTCCACTGATTTGACTGGTCTGAGTTGTCTGCCACCTCCCGGGACTCACTGCGGCATGACTAGGGTGCGAGGGGTGAACAGATGATCAGGGTCCCCATTGCCGAAGCACCCCAGGTGGGAGACAGTAAACAGGATGGTAACGAGCAAGATGCTTCCTGGCAGATGTTAGAGGAGAGCTAGCCAGAGGGCTGATTGACGTTAAAACACATTTGGACAAATGAACTTAATTACAAAACAGAGACAGACTCACAGACGTGGAAAACAAGCTTATGGTTACTGGGGGCAAAGCGGGCTGAGGAGGGATAAATTTGGAGTTTAGGATTTGCAGATACACACTACTGTATATAAAATAGATAAACAACAAGGTCCTATAATATAGCACAGGGAACTATATTCAATACCTTGTAATAACCTATAATGAAAGAGAACTTACATATATATGTATAACTGATCACTATGCTGTACACCAGAAACTAACACAACATTGTAAATCAATTCCACTTCAATTAAACACACACACACACATTTACACAGTTGCTGATTTTCAGTGTATCAGTATGCCCAGTGGATTTCCAATTTTCCTGGGGTGACTATAATGGTTTGATTAAATCATGCAAGAAGTTATATGACTAATTTCTCTTTATGAGGCTTTGGGTGAAAGGCTGGTTTTCCTTTATTAAAAAAAAAAAAAGAAAAGAAAACCAATGTAAAACAAGCAGTTCCCCTTTCTTAACGTTGACTGCAAACATTGTTACATTTCACATAGGCTGCCTGTTAGGGTGAGTCAGACAGAGTAAAATGCCATCCTTTTAGACTGATTAAAAGTTATTCTCCAATTCATGGTGTACTTGAATTGCAGGTTATCTGAAAGTAATGTGATTGAGGTTCTCCTGAGCTTAACAGAATTTAAACTAGGCTAACGGACGAGTCGAGTCGTTGTGGTCTCCGCCAGCCACTTGTGGGACTGGCTATATTAATGCATCTTTAGTATTTCACTTGATTGTTTTCAACCGATGCCAAATGCAACAATAATAATAACTAATGTTTTGAGCTCTTACCTGGGAAATGAGTTTTCACTATCTCATTTAACCTTATACCTACCTGTCCTTTGAGGTGGGTATTGTTATTTCGAAATCTCCATTTTACAGAGGAGGAAAGCAAGCTTCAGAAGTCATAGAGGAGGCAGAATCCAGCCCAGGTCTTCATGACAAATCTCCTGCCATTTACACTTGTGTGTCCCAAAAGAAGCTGTGAATCATTAGTCTTCCTTAAATATTTTATCCGTTAGTATTTATATTCTGAGTCTAAATTATTTCTTCATGCCCAATAACCTTCAGCCTAAACTTTGAATGAATCCTTTCGTATTTGGTGACAACGTCTAAAATGATCATGCTTATTATATTTCTAATGTTTTAAATTATTTGCTCACATGTAAATTAACTCATAATTTATCAGTTAATATATGAATGATTATTTCTCATGGCACTCATTTTTAGAGTTTTTTCCCCCTCTATGTAAAGAAATGGATTTTCTAATTAAATTTCTCATTCATTCTGTTTTCACTCTTTCATCTTTGGAGGGGAATATCATTTTTTTCCCCTTTGCATTGCACTTGTCTTTGTAAATATTTATTATTTTTCATTAGCTACTACTGGTATAAATTCATTTCACTCATGTAATTCAAAACCACAGTATGTTTGTTTAATAAAGAGTAACTTCAGAAAATTGGGCAAGTATTTGGACCTATGACTAATTTATCAAAAAGCTCTCAGTTGAAATTACATTCTATTGATACCAACTTCTTCAATAAACTCTCTGCATTTTGTGAGTTATTTTTAAGTGCCAGATAAATGACAAAGACAGGCTTATTGAATAATATATAGCATACAGGTAAGATCTCATTTTAATGAGTTTGAGGGACAGAAAAATGTCATCACAATGGAAGCATATTGCTTTCCAAATATCACAATATATTAAAAAATGTGTCAAACTTTATTAAGAATCTTCCCCTCTCTATATACAGATATTCAAATAAAGGTCATCTCCAATTTAGCCAGCTCACACACTCCTCTCAGTGCGGTGCTTGGCAATGTTGCTGTGCTGAAGTGTTTCAGAGGCGACGTGACCTAACGTAGTCCCAGATCCTGGGGTAAGAGGTGACAGATCCAATCCACTTACATCCAGATGTGGATCTGATCTGCTTCTGTAGCACTTGGCCAGAGAGCTGATGAGTTACGGGAAGAGCTGTAAACAATTTAAGCAAGCAATCCCACTCTGCAGATCATTCCCCTTCCTTCCTTCCTTCCTTCCTTCCTTCCTTCCTTCTTTCCTTCCTTCCTTCCTTCCTTCCCCTCTTCCTTCCTTCCTTCCTTCCTCCCTTCCTTCTTTCCTCCCTTCCTTCCTCCCTCCTTCCCTCCCTCCCTTCCTTTTTTCATTGTTCAGAAATATTTCCAAGGTACACGTGTGTGAGAGGGGATGAGGAGAGAATGGAAGATAATGATATGGCCTGTGCTAAATGAGGAAGAAAAGATTTAATGAGACACCTTTGTGCTTTGTATCCCTCCCATCATCATTTTAGAACTTCATAAAACACGAAGGCTCCATATTTCAGCCAAACTTGCCCTTGATCTGATATTTTCTCTCTCATTTGCACATGTACACTGGGGCTGTCACCAGTCACCATGCCCACTTATTCTGCCCACCAGTTATGTTCATAACAACGTGGAGTCATCATTCCCTAGCTTACAGACTCAAACTTCTTAAATCCTTTCTAATTTACTTTTTATATGTAGCTCTTTTGGGGATCTATTACTAACTTATAAAATGACTTTTCCTGAGATATTCATACAGGGTAAGGTGTACAGATGGTTAGAGTAAACAGTGTGAAACAAGAAGATACGATGCCTCATAATATAGGTCTCTGGCCTTGGTACCTAACATGCTTACCATTGGATTCAGTCTTTGGAGTAGTAACTTATGTACAAATAACAGGAACACGCTCTAGCTTAAGGGTAAGACAGTGTCTTACCATTTTATAATTTTATATTTCCTCAATGCCAAGTTTATCACTCAGGGATTCTTAGAGGCTCCGTTACTATTTTAAGTTTTGTCTTTTTGCCTTGGTCTTGTCTGGGAAAATGAAAATAATTCAGTTAACACACTATCACTAATTCCAGTTCTTCGAGCCTTGAGAAAAGGAAACTCCAGGACAATTACCGTCAACAGAGAAAAGGTCAAAGAGAAACAGTTTAATAACATTGAATTAGATGCTGTATTCGGGTGGGAGGGACGTGACTGCAGAAGGCAAGCAACCGTTCAGCACTTTTCACCTGCTGCAATTTGATTTTGTCCCAGTCCCCCAAAAGGGTGTCTGCTAGTGTGATGCCAGACATCCATGAATCAAGAGTGGGGAGAGGCTGCAGACTGCAAGGGAAAGCAACCCTAGACAGTGACTAAGGAGCTTGGTTGTACTTTATGTGCCTCTGGCATGAGGCCTTTGGAAGAGGAAAATGCTTTCTCCAAAGCTGACCTGGCAGGAGGGGTGGACTTTTGTAGCAATTTATTTTCCAGTGGATTTCAAATCCTCTTTTTTCCCTTAGTCTTAACTCTTTTAATCTCCATATAACCTACCTCTTTAATAGGTTTCCTTATAAACAACAAGGTCCTACTGTTTAGCACAGGGAACTATATTCAATGTCTTGTAATAACCTAAATGATAAAGAATATGTATTTATGTATAACTGAATCACTCTACTGTACACTGGAACCTAACACAACATTGTAAATCAACTAGACTTCATTTAAAAAAAAGAAATATCACTTATCTGTAGAATCTAAAAAATACAACAAACTAGTGAATATAACAAAAAAGAAACAGATTCACGGATAGTGATTACCTGTGGGGAGAGGGAAAAAGGGGAGGGGAAATATATGGGTAGGAGTTAAAGAGACATAAACTATTAGGTATAAAATAAGCTCCAAGAATATATCATACAACATGGAGAATATAGCCAAGATTTTGCAATAAGTATAAATGGATTCCTTATGATAGTTTGGTATTATTTAGCACATTGTACTAATAAATATTAGTCATATATATGAACTGTGCAAATACTTTATTTTTAACGTGTGACCTCTTTTTCCTATAATTATTGAGATAAAAAGTTAACTGTGCTTTGTTCCAGTCAAGATACATTTGTCAGCATATTTCTTAGAAGCCATTTAACTTAGGGAATTCATAGAGAATTCTCTCATTATGGCAACAGTGAAGAATCAACTATAGGGAAAAAAACCTCGAGGTTTTAGAAGAAATAATTATTATTCATATTGCATTATAAGGTTAAAAATGAAACCTACTGGAAAAACACTGTAATGGACATTCTGAAAGACAATTTTCTGCAGCACAGAATAGCATAAACCTTGGTGGACACTCAGCTGGTCCACAGCAATCAGAGATGGGGTGCAGTTAGCCAGGATAGCCCGCTGCCTTAGAGCAACCAAGAATGGCAGTGAGCAGTGACTGTCCTGGTGAAGAATGGCATGAGTCAAAAATCAGAAACAAGCAATGTTGGACACCATGTGAGAAGGACCGCAGGTGCCTCCTCATCATGTTGGGTGATTTGCACTCCTACGTACTCGGCGATACCCCAGGAACCACTAAGCTTTCAGTTTTCAGTTATCATTCGTCTCTCAGAGAGTAAAAGCAATGTTGACACATCTGTAATAAACTCTGAAAGTATTTGCAATTTCAAAAAGAACGGAAATATTTTAGAAACACAACTTTATCATGTTTTAGTCAAAGATATATATAACTGTGCATCTGTATGTTGACCACTTCCCAACAATGTTGAAGGCTGAGCTGATGTGGAAGCTAAGTCTTCCACTGAAATGCAGAAATGCTTGATAAAACATAACTGTTAAAAAAAATACATATATATATATATGCACACATAACTCAACCTACAAGAAAAAGGAGCAACTCTGAGCTCCAGAAATGACAAGGGAGCTCCAAGTAGGGGTGTTAAGAAGAAGCTTAAGCTCTAGTAGAACCCAGGTATGTCAGAGCCCAGATGCTCGGAGCCAGGAGCCTGGAGTTTACCTTCTACTGTATAATGAGTCTTGAGACCTATGAATGAATCCTCTGTGTACATCCAGGAGCCTAGAATTCCACAGTGGCCATGAAGCATGGGATGCAAGAAAGAGAAATCCTTCTGCCATCTTTACCGTGCACTCTTGGGTGATAACATAGTCCTCCACGAGAAAATGAGTCCTAAACCTGTGAACCTGAAGATATGAGGACCTGCCACCCTTTAAGTTCAAGAATATAAAGGTAATGAAATAACATGAAAACTGGTCCAGAATCAGTGGAACTCCTGGGACCCCCAACAAGGGCAAATGTGAAAGGTACTGCAGGCATGGTTCCCCAGCCCAGGTTTCTCAGATACTTACAGACATCATCACTAACATTACCCTGATTGAAGATGAGCCCAAATCAAAACTAAAAAGCCATAAAATGAGTTAAAAAATCATGGAGCAGAGCATACAGGAGAGACAGCAGATACAAGAAACAGGCGATCTGGCAGTGAGAGACTGTAAAAAAACCTGGAATGAATTTATAAATATAATAAAAATGTTGAAGTAGTTAAAAGGGTTATAGATACTTTAAAAAAGATTTGATAAAGAACCAAGTAGAACTTCTGGAAATTAAAAATCAATTCATTAATATATAAAATTCAATGGCCATGTTAAATGTGTTAATATACCATCGAAGAAAAATTAGGTAATGGTCAGGTTTGTATGTGGAAACCATCTAGACAGTAGCATAAAGAGTAGCATAAAATAATATGACAGGGCATTTTATAGAAATGGAGGATGGAGTCAGAAGACCCAACATGCATTTCATAGATGCTCCGAAGAAGAGATTGGATAAAATGGGAGAGAGGCAGTATTTGAAGAGATACATGGAGGATTTTCCAGAACTGAAGAAAGACATGCCTACTCGGAATGAAGGGCTACAGCACCCCCCCAAGAGGATACGTAAAAAGAAGTCCGCGCTCAGATGCATCATAGAGAAATTACAGAATAGCAGGAGAAAAATCTTAAATGCCAACCAAATGACATGACCCACCAAGTTATGACATTCAGACCAACAGCAGGAAAGGGAGCCAGAACAATTGGACAATATCCTCAAAATGCTGAGAGATAATAACGATTGCCCTAGAATTCTGTGTCCAGGTAAATGCTCATTCAAGATGAGAACAAAATAAAAGTGTTTTCAGACAAAGTCCAAGACAGGAAGGTCTAAAAAAATCTACCAAAGCAACTAATTCAGCGAGAAGGAAACTAAATATCAAAGAAAGAAGTGAAATGCAGGAACCAAGGTTGATGGAACAATATTAGCCTTCTCTTTACTGTAAAACAATTTAAAAACCCAAATAAGTTCCTTTCCCAAATCATAAGAACTTTATTTTTAATATAAAAGTAACTTAAGAAAAAAATCTGTTATATGTTTCATTTTGCTGTAAATAAATATAAATATCTCACAATGCTGGTATATTTACGTAAAATATGGAGTTTACTGAGAATGAAATATGTCACCTTGAAGAATTGTTACTGTCTTAACACTAGTGCTTGTGTTAAGATGTTAGGGAAAAGCAACATATAAAACCTCATATTTACTATTATGTGAACTGAGTAAAAATTCATAAAAGGAATATTATAAGGCAATGTGTGAAAAATGTAAAAAAATCATTTTTGGTGGCATAGGGATGTTTTTCTTTTTACTTAGTACCTGTCAAAATTATTCAATGGGAATGTATTATTTTCATAATAAAACTTCAGAATCCTTAAAAATGTAGACATATTATTTTACTAAATTATGCATTTTACTAAATAAACACTCTGTTTATAATTTTGCAGGCAAACCTCTCCTCACCATCTTCTACAGTATCTGAGAGTCAGCTGGTATGTATCCTTTTACTAAATCAGGGACTTGATGCTTTAGAAAATGCTGACCCTTCAAAAGACAGCTTTATCTGAACAAAAATGAACTGAGGATAAATTTGCTACCTACTGTGTTTATTTGCTTACTTGTCTAACAGAAGTTTACTGATGCTTTACTAAAGCTCCATGGGGGGGGTTTGCGGGTTATAAACATACGTGAAGTCATAGATAGACTTCAGTTGCCAGTAACTTGCATCCTTGTAGTGGTGTTAGAGTAGAGTGGGCAGGGTCAGAAGCAAGATGATGATGGAATCTAGGGAAGACTAGGGTTCAAGGGCAAGGTCACATTGGAAATGTAGGGTAGGTTCTGGACTTGAGGAAACGGGAAACAGACAAGATATTTCAGACAGGAAGATTAGCATGTGAATGGTCTCAACCCGTGATGAGCAGCAGAAATATAGGGTGAACTGCAATGATAAGCCACATATGTAATTTAAAATTTTCTAGTAGCCACATTAAAAAAGTAAAAAGAATAGGTCCCGTTAATTTCAATGATATATTTGATTTAATTATATATATGTATTTATATATGTAGTCATTGTGACGTATAATCAGTATAAAATTGAGATTATTTTACATTCCTTTTTTGGGGCAAAGTCTTTGAAATCCGCTGTGTATTTTGAATTTACAGCATATCTCAATTCAGAATAGCCCCATTTCAAGGGGGCTAGTGGCCACTGCATCGGACGACCCAGATCTAGGCTCTTGACTCCGTTATTTATAGATAAAATTTGATTAAATAGGAGGATAACTTTTCTTAGAGTGTTTCATATTTCTTCATACAGTGGTTAGCGCGTTGAAACCATGATGTAAGTTGACTAGCTATTACTGAAGATCTTCTTTATATCTTCTAATTTTTATTGTTTCTAATTGTAAATTCCTGAGCAACAGACACTTTGAGTAAAATGAATGGAAACATCTAGTAAAGCAGTGTGAGACATTAAAAAGACAAAATCAGTTAAATACTGATTTTTCCCCCTTTTTAAGCGAGTAGTTCGGTGTCCTACATTCATGGCCAACAACTCATCCTGTCATTATAATGTCAAAATGACAGCAGTGTATTTGTTTGTAATACTGGAAAATCATAAAAAAAAGGTAGTTTGACTCTTCAAACGGCCTGATTTTTGCAAACTGCTTGCGTATGTCAGCGTTTATTCATATAGTGTGTATATGGGGCGTTTGCGTGTGTGTGTGTGTGTGTGTGTGTGTGTGTGTCTGAGTGATTCTAGCGTCAGTGGGTTTGGAAGAGTGGCAGGCAGTGTAGGAGAGTTGAAAGAAGGCTGGAATCGGGGTGCCAGAAGACCCACCTTTTACTTCCTGCTCTGACACTAACTCCCGGGCTGACAGTGGAGAAGTCGTGAATCTGGGAGCCTGGGCTTCAATCTCCTAAATGAACACTCGGTTACGCCCTGTCCAGGCCTCTCCAGCGCAGTGAGTCCGTGATTACTAACATAGGGGAGCGAGGCGTTGCCATGGAAACAGGCACTGCAGCAACATAATGAAGTTGAACAGTTTCCCACTTTAGATATGGACCTATTATCACGGCTGTTTTAATATTTAAAGATAAATGTGCTCGTTTCTTGAGAGGAATGTGTAAAAATCAAGAAATATTTTATATACCCAACATTGTATACAAAAAACAGATTCAGGTGTTAAATGTGAGTGTGTGTATATATATATATATATCTATGTCTGTATCTGTGTTACCAGACTGACATATATAGATGTCAGTTCTTGGCTGATCATTTTAACAAACTATTTCAAAGAAGCAAATATAGTGATTTCATAAGATAGGACATAGAATAAATGACTCATTGTAAATGTAATAAGTAACCCTTTCCTTGCCTAATCAGTTCCCTGAATGTGGTGCTTGTGTTCTCTATGGGGGAAAATACAAAGCGTTGCTTTGACAGACTTTGATGATCATTTTTTTGCATTTACTTTGGACCTTTTCTCTAAAGAGTTCAAGGAATTTCTTAACCAAGTTTTAAATTAAATTTTAATCCCCAAATGCTCTTGAGATATAGGTCAGTTTGGGAAGGGATTATTATCAAGCAAGCTATCACACACACAAAGAACAGCTCTTGGATTGATGTAATTAGTCACTTCCATCACTGGTTCCTGCTTCATGACATTAACCCTGTATTTACACACCCTGAATACAGACCAGAGTAGAAATAATTGCATGCAAGCCATGTTACGTGACATTTGCTTTTTAAAGGATTTATAATGTTTTCACTCTGAAGGGTAGCAATTTATGAATGAAATCATATATATATTTTTATTTTTAAGAATGGATTTCCAATATTGCCTTCATGAACTCTCTTCAGAATTAATTCTGAGTAATTTGAGTAAATAAGAATGCCTTTGAAGAATAAACATATATTGTATATGCACACTATGCATATGGGTGCCATGTGACAGTTAATTCTGATTATAGGCATATGCTGGTTTTTGTTTATATATGTGTGTACATGTGTGTGTAGCACATAAAAACAAATTATTGGGAGTAAATGATAGATTATCATTAAATTATGAATGTAAATATTGTATGTTTTGCATAAAATAAGCAGTTAGTTAAAATTATTTGACTTCAATTTTAAGAGAGAAATGTAATAAATTGAGGTGAAAATAAATGAGGAATTGGTGTAATAGCACAAGTTTAGTACAGGAACCAGTTTGCTTTTGAGCTTTGACTTTTTAAGACCATATCATTTTTGTCATATTTTTTTCTTTTTAACTGGGCTCACCTAACTTGCTTGTTTGCCAACTGTGCCAATTCAACGCTGGAAGGAAGAAAAGAAATGTGACCTTGCCCTGTACTCTTAAACTGTCTCCACTGTTTACTCTGGAACCCAAATGACGTAGTCTTGGGTTCAGAGAGAGTAGTTTGGGGGTCTTTATGAAAATTAGCTCCCCGGTCTGTGCCTCAGTTTCTCTTCTTTCAATAAATAGGAGCACAGTCTGTCAAAACAGGAAAGGAGCTGAGAGGGGAGGGTGTTGAAAATACCCTCCATCTAGAAAATGGAGGCGAGAGCAACCACTCTGCCGACCTGCCGGGGTTACCTGAGGGCTCCCATGTGTGAGGGTGCCAGGGTAACCCTGTGCACCCGGGGTGTTATTATTGCACAAAAAGTCTCCTGTATATTACCTCTGACATTTAATAAGAGCAGCCATTTTTACAGATAAACAGAGGCCCACAGAGTTTTCAGTAGATTATCCAAGATCCCAGAGTTCGTGGTCATCTTTGTTCTGCATGACTGTCAAAATGGAATCATTACTGATTTTAGATAATTCAAGGAGAATAAAACAGGCTGATGAAGGAGGTGGGGCAGTGGGCCTCTGCAGAAGGCTGACCGCCACTGGGCACCCCCCGCCCGGGGCCCAGTGCCCCGGAGACGTGACCTGGGACCGAGGACGAGGGGCTGAGTCCGGTCGGTCAGCGTGTGGAGGCTTCACACCTGAGGATCGCACTTCCCAGGCATCAGCAAGGGACACGGAAGGGAAGAAAGATCTAGGCTCTAAGCTGCGCCTTCACCAAGCTTTCCTAATTCCTTAGCTCTGTTCTCACAATATTAACGGAGGCTGGTGGGATCTCTTTTCTCTGGATGAGAAAAGGAGCTGGGCTCTGCCAGGAGGGTAAGCGCTGGTCTTCCTTGGCGGTAGGTAGAGGAACCCAGTTTAGGGGACATTTGGCTTTGGCTTTTGAAATTTCATGCCATTACAAAATGGTCCTTGTTGCTCAAGACGGAATACTGAAGCCAGAGAGCACAAAACAATAGATTTAAAAAAACACACCACATGGCTCTATACAGCTAAAAGCAAAAATGCAGCTTACTGGAACATTATAAAGAATGCTTCACCCTCCAGATATTTGTTCCTGGTTCTGAAAGCCAGCTGGTGTGTCCTGTGTTGGTGCCGGCCTCATCTTTCCAAGGGCTCTTGAGGGCTCTGTTGTTCAGAAAATGCAGCCTGAAAGCTTTCCTGGAGAACTGTCTTCTTTAGCTTTAAGGCGCTTTGTCCTTGACCAATTCCCCTTGATACGGAGCGCTTAAGCACAGAGCATTTATCACGGGCGCCTGTTCGGGTCTGAGTCATGTGGTTTGTCTTTTCTTTAACCACTGAAACATTTCAATCTGGCCAGCCTGTGTTGTGTGCAGTCCCCACAAATGCTTCTTGAACTGTGGGATATGGTTTATGATTACTGAAATCCTGTGTATGTTTATTTTAATAGTAATTATAAATTTTTTTTTTGGAAGAAGCCCATCAGGTTGGTTCTTTCCTGGGTAGTCTAGATCCTTTAGTATCAACACTCAACATTATAATTGCAAAAACAGGAAAAAGGGAAGTTCTTTTAATTTTCCTTTCAAAATCTTTTTACGCTGTTTCTTCTTCACAAAGTTCCGTCATGCAGATTATGTTGTTAGATGCGCACCATCACTTTGTGAGTTAGTACAGCAGGAATTGTTATTTCCATTATTCTGATGAAAAAACATCCCCTGAAGTCCAGAAATCTACAGTGCCTTGTCAACAGTCCTACAGCTGAGGGGTGGTATAAAAATCTGTCACCCCCCCTCACCTCATCCCCAGTCTTGGAAGCCTTCCTCTGTACTGTAGTGTTCTGAAATTTGAGATATTTCTTTGAGGGGGGAAGAAAAAGCTTTTAAGTCTTTGTTTCAAGCATATAACATTGTTTATTTAAAAAAAAAGAATGAGAGTCAATAAACATTTATTAATTGAATGCATGACTCAGCTAAATAATTTAGAAGATATTGTTTTTGTCAACAGTCTTGCCTGGGAGGATGTTTTTGAGTTTCTATGAGCTTGTTGCTACAGAAAGTCTTAAAAAAAAAAAAAGCAAAAAACAAACAAAAAAACACTGAAAAATGAAGAGTAAAAGCAAATGGGGGAAAAAAATACCCAACTGTGGCACTATCACAAACTCTTTGGATCCATCAAATTAGTAAAAATCCTAGCCAGGCTCACAGAATTGTCTATATGCTGTGTTTTACTACTTTACTGCTGTTTGTTTATACATCTCAACTTTTCAAAAAGATCGAAGTAAACCCTTGAAAACTGGGACCCTATCATTTATTTCTTTTGTTCTCTTATCCCACGAGCCCAGAGTTTAACTACTATAATCAAAGGCAATTAAAAATACCAATCCACCAGTTGAAGTTAATTTAAGAAAGATGCTGTTCCAAGAATCCATATAACGGATTCTCTAGGTCAGTGCTGGCGGTTAATTTTCAACTGTGGTCTCTAGCCAGAGGCAGTACCCACTTGTTGTCATGGAATTAAAAGTTCCAAAGGACAGAAATGATGTCTTTTTTTTTTTTTAACAGTGCCTGAGTAGCAATATTCAAGGATATGTGTATACTTGATGACTTATACACACAAATGAATAGCAGACTGGGACCAGTGCCCCACAGGCCATTAAAACCTGCCCTCTGGCCCCGGAACTCCACAAACTGTATCTCTTGGATTTTTTTTCTCCCTTAAGACTAACAACAGAGTTAGATATGATCCCCTGGTTTCACCCCACTCCAGAGAAGCTGACATCGTTGTCTTCTGGTATTAAGAGCTTTATTGCTTAATCACCGTAAGCAAACAGGGGGGAAAAGAAACCTTTGAAAAAAAATAGGGTTAAAATTTTGTAAAGTCCTTAAAGGTGTGGTCGCCTGGCTTGACTTACTGTCTTATCAGAGATGACAACTTCAGCCTTGTACTCTTATCTCCAAGGGTGGGGCTTACCAAACCACGTTTCTCCTTCTGGTCCTCTGTTGCCGGAAAGCAGTGTAGACCTTCTGTCCTGCAGAGCTCCCTCTTCCCGGGTTACACTGCGTCCAAAAAGTCAGTCGGAAAAATTAGAGGAGACCCTAAGTGGTCCATCAACACCTTTTAAGGCTTCCATATTGGATTATAGCCAGGAAACCGAAACCGAGCTTCTGCCTGTGAATAGTTTATTCATTCTTCAAATGTTTATTTAATATCTGCTAGGTTCCTGGCCCAGTTCTAGGTGTTGGAGGTACAGCAGTGAACGAAGAGATGATTGCTGGCTTCCCAGAGCTTACATTCTAGTGGAGGAAGCAAGAAAATAAACAGGACAGATTGTGTTAATTACTTTGGGGAAAAAAAAATAGGGCAAGCCAGGGGAGGTGGGGTTAGTATTTTATGCAGGCCATTAGGGAAGACCTGTCTGATAATAAGGTGGCATTTGAGCAGAGACTTGAAGACTTGAACAAGAGAATCCTGGAAAGGGAGAAAAGAGTTCCAGACAAAGGGAAGAAGAGAAAGTACAAACTCACAGAGGATGGGGGACACAGTGCGTGCGCCGGTGTGGAGGGTTGGGGAGCAAGGGGGCCGCGGCAGGAGACAAGACTGGAAAGGGAGAGGCTGGTTGGGGACTGAAAGATTAGGTCCCACAGCACCTTGGGGGCATCACCTTGCAGACGTTGTAAGGGTTTCGGCTTTTACTCTAAGTAAGAAGGGGAGGCAATGGAGAGCTTTGAGAGGGGTCCCGTGACATGGTTTGACTTACACTGTGATGGTTCTGTGCTTAACTCAGCTGGCTTGTTGGCCCTCGGAGAACAAGGGTTATGGCTTATTCATCTCTGTAGACACTTCCTGACATAGACGAGGTCTCAAGTGGCAAA